TATGCTATGTAGTATATTTGCCTAAGTTCTGTTGCATTTAAAAAATTACTATTTAATCATTGCGTTAAAACAAAGTTTTCTTTCGCACTCATCGTAGATGTACGTGTCTGTCGAACTTCTAAAACAAAATTAATTTCATTCAACAGAAACGTAGGAATAAATTTGCTTGTATTTCAAAGATGTTTCTGCAATTAATTTTAGAACTAACAGGAAAATCTACGTGCGTACACGTATTCAATTAAATTGTGCTTTATTTTAATTTATTGGTCTTCTATACTATAATTTATAAAATAAATGTAGCATGTTGTAAGCTTTATTTAAAATATGTTGGATTGTCAAATTAAATATAGATTAAAGAACATTGTATAGCTAAATAATTTTTTTAATAATATAAATTATTTATATCATAATGTATACGTATGTAAATTAATCTACCTAAATAGTTAGGGATTAATGGAAAATGGAATAATTTTAACAACTCTGAAAATTTCATAGACCGAAAGTACTCCTTATCCTATATTCTGTTTTGAAATAATCTTTTAAGTTAATTTATGTTTAATAAGATTGAATGACATAAAGAAGGTAAATAAATTATATTCTGTTTTGAAATAATCTTTTAAGTTAATTTATGTTTACTAAGATTGAATGACATAAAGAAGGTAAATTTTTTTTTATTAATAAGTATAAAAACATGAAAATAAAACAAGTTTTGATTATTTTAATAGTTCAATCTTTCTCACAAGTTCAAAAAAAGTAATTTTGAATAATCACTTTCAATCAAAACATGTTTCTTTTAAAATTTTAATTCTAAAATAAGAGAAATAATAAGAAATAGAATCAAGGGTGTCACTCTGAATGTAAACCTTATTCATTTGTACAATACTCCATAGGAACGAAACGCCAATTGGCCGCAGTTTTCTTTAAGCTGTAACATATAGCTCTGGATATGTAAGACAGTAACTCACTACAAAGATAATACGTAAGAAGAAAATAAGTTCTGTGAAAATATGGATAAATGCAAATCAAAACTCATACTCTTTGTTTGGAGAGATTGGTGGCTCTGGCGCTGGTTTTAAAGGGTTTATGACCTCTTCATAAGTATAATCAGTTCGAATGTTGTTATTTGGTCGCCGAAAATTAGAGTCTGCTAAATATTGCCAGAAAAGCTTTTCAAATATTGTTGTTTGTGGTCTCGGTATTTGATTTTCTCTAATGGGCTCTTCCGGAACCGGATCTACTAATTCAAAGTCAACAACATCTTCTTCTTTAAAGTTAATTTTGAGATTGATATGCAAGTACACATGTTGTATGTAAACATTTTCTACACATTTCGGATCATCGATCAAAGTCACTTCCTGCAGAAGACTTTTAGCTAATTTTGTAGCTTTGTCCTGTATTTTATTTATAACCAAAATGGTTGGTATTCGTGTAAAATTAAGTGAGCGTTTGGATGATAATACAATGATTCTACAAAGTTTTGAGCGATGCGGTTTAAGACGAAAGATTGGTGGATCAAAAGTTATTTTGAAAGTAGAATTAATTTCGTATTTTTGCCAAGACATCTCAACACATTCTTGACTATAATTATGTATAGCAACCAATTTAGTGCGTTGCTCTTCCATATTCATATCAAAATCTAATTTATTTGGATAAATAATAAATGGAAGGTCAACACAGTCATAATCCCTATCAGGTGCCTCAGTAAATTCCGGTTCTTCATTAACATAAGCTGAAGCATTTATATAAACTTTGTATGGTCGACCATTATAGGCCATTGATAAGCTTATCTGTAATTATTTAGAAACTATAAATGAATATATGAAGTAAGATAAGTTGACTTTAGCAACAAATACCAGATTTTCCATATCTGTTGGTCTGTACTCTACCATCAATGGCCAAACACTCTGGCGTGGTACACTTAGATTGGGATTAAGTATTTTAAAACCGTGCTCATCAGTGGAAAAAGAAAATTGTAAATTTTGCATTGTAATATTACGTATCCAAATTGCTTGTATGCAACGTCGGTATTCTTTTATATCAATCGGTACCAGATTCTTTGTTAAAACACATTTATTGGGACTAAAATTTACGATGTCTAAACGTATATATAATGATATGGTGCGATCATCTGAAGTTCTGAAAATTTCAACGAATTATTACAAGCATATATAGTATTTAGATCAGTTTATTAAAATTTACGAACTTCATTTCGAAACATAATGTATGCTCTCCAAGTACACAAAAGTTAACAATAAGTTTCATAGCAACTAATTCATTGGATTCCATTACTATGTTATCCTGCAGAATATGTACTAAATTCCGATGAGGACAGTGGAACATATGACGAAACTGATTAAACCCAACGCGAGTTTCTACCAAGTGACATTGACATTTCTGCACACGCCTCACATTTAGTCGATACTGTATAGCACTTTCATTGCGTATCCATAGGACAATTTTATAAGGCAACGAACATAGTATTTGAGGTGGAAAACGTATTATATGCGTCACACGTATCTCTGGTAGTCGTAATTTCAAATTAAATCTAAAATTTGTTTTATCAAAAAATATGTCTTATTTATGTAGGATTAGCAACGAAAAAAACAAACTCTTTACTTCTCAATATCGAAATATTCCCAGTAGTACTGTTTGAGTAATGGTGCTTGACATACCGACAAGTTCTCAATTTGTATAAAGTTGTTTAATAACTGATGTATAGTGCTAGGCATTTTGTAATACTAATTTATAAGTATCGCGTATAAGAAACTTTAAGAGTACAGAATATAAAATAGTAAAAAACTTGATTGTGTTTTTTTATAAATTTATAAAAATTTCTGCCAAAAATATTTTTATATATTTATCATAGTTCGACTTATTTAGTTTTGAAGTTTAATTACCTGGTAAGCAGATTAAATACGAGTAATTCAAACCTTAGCTTTTTATTAAAATAAACAGAATCTATATTTTACACAAAAATCTAAAAATTTAAGGAATTATATATTATCCATTTTGGTCCGATATTTTATGCGATTCTTAAGGCAGAACCAAGATATCACATTTAGAAAACCATCCTCATTGGAGTTTTCAAACTAAAAAAATTTTTTAAAAATTGAAAGAAATGATATCACGAAAGTTTCAAATCTGGAGAGTATTGTGGATTTGATAATACAATTCAATCAAATCGTAAAAGTTCTCGACAGGTATTTTTGCAAAATTTCAATGGAACACTATACCTTTTCTGTTCATCAATTTCAATCTTTTATGACTGATTGAGAAATTCAATATATTTATTTAATTATAGATTTATTGTCCGGTGGACTTTAACAAAAGAAAAACACAAAACAATAGAATCTATTCACATCCCATCAATCCGATAGAATGATCTTTTTTTAAGGAATATAAATTTTTAAAATGTTTTTTCCATATTTCCATGTTTCAATGTAAATAAATAATTTGCATTCATCACGATAATACATTATTCCCTTGACAGTAGATGAAGAAATCTCAAACTGAAGGAAATTGTTTATTGCAAGAACATGTTGATTGCATATGATGTGGCTAAAATTTATACCAAAGCGTTTTACATGATCACTTAAGCTTTGAGTGAACTCATAAGATATTACTCTGCAGCTTGGACCAGTCAATTTTGTCTTTATTAACTTTAACTAATATCTAAGAAAATTCAGTTCAGAATGTGATGCATCTATAATATCAAAAGTTTTGGACTAAGGGAAAACAGTTTTATCAAAACTAGATGTGCCTTATAGCCATGTGCAGATAGAGAGAATTTATTCGCATCAAGTACTTTTATTCCAATGAATTAGAAATGAGAGAATTATTACAAGATTGCAAACTATTGGAATATTCCGCTCAAGAGAAATACTATTTTAAAACTAATTACATGTTTTTTATTTCAAATATAATGTGTGAAATTTTAAAGAAATATCTGATTATTAATATGTGATAAATAAGAAGAAAAAAGTCAATAAAATATATTGTTGCTTGTGTAATTTTACTAGACGCAGAGCTTTCTGTTTTTTCCAAGTAGTGAATAGGTCTAAAAAAAACACATTCCGATATAAAACTTAAAATTGTAAAACAGACCTAGTTATTAACCCGCCTGGGTAAAAGCAGAGATTATATTAGGAAGTTCTATATTTGGGTTATTGCCCAAGCTCATTAACATATAGAAATAAATAACTTAAACTTGTCAGGCCTAAGTAATTGCATAAGATGTGTTCAGTTGTTTCTTTTTCTTCTTTTTTTTAGAATTATTAATTTAAATATTTTAATACTTCATAGTAAAGTTTGCTTTTAATATCCATAATCGAAAGTTTTTATGATTTTTATTTAAAAAATTAAATTCAGAATATATTGAATAGAATTTCTTAATTTGAAGTAAACATCAACAGAAAATTTTAATCGATATTAAAATATACAAGTATTATTAACAATTCACATTTCTCTACAGTCTTTTATTTTGAGAATATGCAGTAATCCATATAACGAAATAAAAATGGAAATGGTTTTTTGAATAGTGGCTATCATGTATTGTCATTGAAAGGATGTTTTGTTAGTTTTCATGGATTTTTTTTTATAAAGAGAATTACAGAAAAACAATCAAAGTGAACGCATGTGTTGTGATGACCAGCAATTTGGACGCACCCAAATCCGTTTTTGTTATATGGAATACGATATTAAAAACTGTGAAAGGCAATCAACATGATTGGAATATGTTTGCAGCTTCAACAGAAGTCGATTGTGGAAAATTCATTTTTAGTTAATTTAAAATGTTCCATTTTTTTACAACTTTTTTTGGATTGTTAATGTTGATTTGATTTCCCTTTTTCAAATTAAATTTCTTTTTAATTTTTAGTGCATTTGATTGATTAATTCATTATACAAAAAATATTTAAGTTTTTATTTAAAAATGATATAAGAATTTATTTATATTTTAAGTAAGTTCTTTTATAAAAAGTTTTCTAAGAATTTAATAAAAGAAAATGATTTAAGGAGCTTTATTACAATATTACCATTAGGATTGTTTATTTTTCAGATATATTCAGAAATTAATTTAAATATCTTCGATTAGCACAAGTAAAAAAATTTCTTAACGTATCTTTAAGTAGTTGAAAACAAGTAATAATTGCCTTTTAAGATATAATTATTTCTGTTTATTTGTTGAGTTCAATAATCTTTTTAATAGCCCAGTATCTTAAAATTGAACTATTGAATAGAGCATTCACTCGTTAATGCAATTGAGAAATTCATTTCAAACTAATACCAAATAAATAAAAATTATCTCATTGTCAGGCATATTTTCTTATGATTATGAAAAACAATTAGTTAACTTTAAAATACTGAAATAACAAACTTTTCTAATAGCTTAAAAATTTTGGCAGAATTATAAAATTATCTTCCATGAAAACTAGCAAAGAATTTATTGTACACTCACAATTATAATAGTTTAATGAAGTTTTATAATATTTTTCAAGTGTTAATGTAGTTAACATTATTCATAAGTAAAAAGTTTTGTTTTCCACGCTTCAAAACTTTAATTTATACGCCCTAGAGCCAGAGTTCACTGACTCGCTGCCAAAGGAATAACCCGACAAAGCATTCCATAGTAATCTGAATGAAATTAAAAACTCATTTAATAGTCATTTGAACAATGAGAAATAGTCTTACGGTCTGTGACACTTAAAAATAGAATTATTTAAAATATTTTTAATTAACTTAACAATATAATTTAATATAAAATAAATAATTTTAATACAGTTTAATCAAATTTTGTCAATGCTTCTCTAGCCATTGCTTTATTATTCGGTTCATGTCTTTATCATAAGTACCTTTTCGCTTTAACGAAAGCTATAATGTTTCTTTAAGTGAGATATAAAGCTATAAAATTTAACATTTTATTTTCATTTAAAATTCCTTTGTACAAGTTTTAATTTAAGTAAATGTTTTAATGTAAAGATTTTCCAGTGAAACGTGCATTTATTTTTGTTTCTTTTATTCTTGCCAGCATTGCTCATTTCCTAGTTGAAAATGTCTCTGTCCTTGGCATTCAGAGATGGTTAAGCACATATGATACAGAAAGATTAGCTAATGTAACGGTGAATGGATGTGGATAAAGGACACGTAAGTACAATTTGTTGTCAGTTGTAATTAAACGTTACACATTTACATAGTCTCACAGATGGCATCATTACGGAGGTGCTTGTTTCATTACTTAGTTGTAATGTTTGTACATAATCCTACTTAACGTCCTCTACTGTTTAGATTTAAGCAATTCCTTATATAATGACTAGAGCAAAATATTGGCAGTAAAAACGAAAACTGAATCATTTAGAAATATTTTATAGCTTGGATTGCAGTTGTTTTTGAGCTTGATTTGTATAGTTCTGTGAATTGCAAAGGATAGAGGGTGGCTATCTAAAGAAAATTCATGAAACACTAAGTGATTATTTTATTTAACATCATAGGTTTTGAGTTTTAAGTTTAATAAACCCAATTTTTTTTATAATAATATATATTTAATGCTATAAATGATCATTATTATTATTTAGACACTTACCAGTTATGATTTTTCACGTTTTCAAGTCTGGAAAAAAATAAATTAATTTTTTAAATTAATGTTTAATTGTGAAATATGTGTTTTTTAAATAAAATTTTTAAAAGCTCTTAACTATTATTTAAAAATAATAAAAAACTTGATTTCAAATTCCATTAAAATCACAAATAAAACATGAAAATACAAACATTGAGATTATCCTCTACCTTACATAAAATTCAGCTTAAATAATAATAATAAATTTTTTAATAAAAAAAAAGTTTGAAAAAATAAATTTAAAATTTGCAGTCATATGTTTAATTGAATATTTTTTTTATTATTTCTGTTTACTTTATAATAATTTTTTTCTACTTACTTCGCTTTTCAATCTAGTTTGTATTAAATCTATTCTTTTTTTTAATTTTAGTCTGAAGAACTGTTCTTATATCAAATACCACTTTAATAACATAAGAGCTAAATTAATCTTTTAAAATTAAAAATATTGTCACATGATTTTACTGGTTCCGAATTACCAGTAAAAACTTTTTCCACTTACAATGATAATATCAAATGACTAAAATTAATTAAAGTTAGAAATTGAGTATGAAAACATTGAACCTGCTTCAGTGTTTTTATTTGATTTTATTATACGTAATAGAAAAACAAGCCACCATGAGTAGAAAATGAAGGAAAAACGTATTCGGAAGCATTTTGGAAGCAACAAACTTGAATCAATGACATGGAAATAAATTGTTCTAAAGTTTAACAGTTTTCCGCAGAGCAAAATGAAGTTGCCTTACAATATTTTAAGCGATTTTTAGTCCTTTATATCTTTGTTGCTGCCTGAACATGAATAATGATGTTAAACTGCAAAGTATGCACTGTAAGGAGACCAGGAAAAACATTAAGAAAACGCATTAACTTTTATGCTGGGAAATGATTCATGTTCTTGCAGTGCACTGCAGGGAAAATAATTTTTTATATGTCGGGAAAGGGTGCACCAACTTGAGAAATCATTGGTATTATCGAACTTATTTCAAAATTTAATATATTTTTTTATATAAAAATTGTTAAAGTTGGAAAATAAATTAATATAAAGAAATAAATTCATTTTATATAAGAGTGGAAGAGAGTCGATTTATAAATTATTTTTTAATACACTCAAATAGAACTTCATCTTACATAAAGACTAGCTCATTTAGTCGTTGAAAATATAGCTTTTATAAAAGCACACTAACCGTTCTAAGAAACTTTTATTCCTGGA